TCTTCTCTTCTTTGGAGTCTATTGGTCAGAGGATGGGCCCCTTCAGACTGGCAATTTCGGCTGGCTGTCGGACGTTGATGGTCATCTCACGTGGGATAGCTGACTAATACTCCATGCAACTGGTCGACTTCCTTCATTAGTCCCAAGAGTTGTGAAATGAAATTTCACCAGAAAGTTTCCCATGAAATCTCATTTTGGCCAGAAAGTTTCACAATTAGCGAAATATTCCTATTTTAATAGAAAAAATGTATTTAAACCTTTGAAATTACTGTCAGAGCTCTTCTGAGTCATATTTTACCTTACACATACTCATTCGGAGGCTTTCACTCATTGCGAATCTCTTTTTTTTACAGTTTCAGCCCAGGCAGGACTGTTGGGAGTACCTAACCTAAAAATTGAAAATATCTGTTGTGATAATTGTGTTGGTGTTTAATTGTTTACAATCATTCAAAAGCAAAAGGTGTTCAAAGTTACCCTAATTTAGGGAGTAATTTTGAACACCTCTCTTTTTTTTAAAAGATAGGGTGTGGCAAGAGCCCCCCTAAATTTTTGACGTAAGGTTATTTGCTTAAAAAAAAAAAAAAAAAAAAGAAGCAAGTCCTCGTATTGTTTGTCAACTATTTTTTTCTCAAATCCTTCAAATAATAGTGAAAAAAACCAATACCAACCCACTCAAGTGAGTCATTGTCATTGGATATCTTTTTGGAATCCACCTCTCTTCCCTACCGGACATCTGCCCTCACTCGGCCGCAGCCAGAAAAATGAACTGAATTTGAACTTCCCGCCACAAAGTGCAGTAGGGTCTCAAAATTCATCCATGGGATCCAAACGCGATCACAGGAACGAGTAATGACTGACCTGTGTGGATTGGTCTTAATGCGTGAAAGGAACCTCCAGAACAGTTCAAAGTTACTTGAATCAAAGTGCGTAATTGCATTTGTCTGGCCATTGTTTTACTGTCATCAAACAGTTCAAATTAATGACAAAATACAATAGTGAATTAAAATTGAATGTGATACAAAGGGAAGGGGGCAAGGAACACGAATTACATGTATATGATTGTTCACTATTTTCAGCTGTTTCACACGTCTCTGGATGTAACATAGAAAGTTTTAAAAAGTGAATTAAATTTCATTTTAGAATCTTTCATGAAATTTCGCAACTCTGTAGTCCCTGATATAGTTCTTCTACGTTAAGGAGATCATCATCGACATCATTGTCCTCATCATCAAAGTCTGGGATCCTGCAGTTTTCGCATGAGTCGCCCTTATTTTGGCCCTTCGGTGGGGGGCATTAATGGGGGGGGGGGGGGGGCTCTTCACTTTTCAGGTGCTCAACTGCTCACCTCCTCCCCGTCCCTCAATTTATTTTTCCACTTGGCCTGTATTTTAAATCTGAATCATTTTTACAGAGCAGAACTTCAAGTCTGCATGATCAGTTTTGAGAAACAAGGCCAAACACCCCCTCCTCATAAGTACTTTTTATGACGGTGTTCGGGGGTGCTCCCCCCCTTCCCGGACTGCAGCGCGAAAATGGTAGTCAATGAGCTGAAGAGTAACATAAAGCAGCGTTTGTCGTTGAACAGCCGTGAGCGAACTTTTCCTGCAGAATAATCGTCAAATTTATGCCTTGAAATGATATTTTTGCAATTTTGAGGGGCACCGGAAAATTGATATTACGTCATAACGAGCCAAAATTTGATGAGGATTCAGAAAATGGTGCTTTATGTAGTGATACGAGCAACCGTTTTCTAGGGTGGTCCAAACTAAGCAACTTCGGAAAATGAACCGCGACGCCCCCTAAATTTGTTCCTTACCATTAAAATATGATACCTGCCAAATATTTTCGTTCTCCGACAATATTAACACGTGCCGACTTGAGGCTAAAAATCTCCAAAAAAATTACATTGATTTAAACGGGGCGAAAATGGATAGATCCGCGGTATTTCGTTTTTTGGCTATAAAATGTGCCAACATAAGAATAACTTCATCTTTGCCGATATAACTTAATCACGAAGATACCTAGAGGCTTAGTGTGAATGAGAAAATCGCACATTCGACCCATGGGGCAGGGGGGGCAGGGGGTCAAAGCGGAGCCAATTCATAGGCGATGGGGCGCCGCGCCGCCGCTTACGGCATGATGCGGCTATGCGGTGATCCACTTTAGGCAATTTCGGAAAACGGACCGCGATGCTCCCTAAATTTGTTCCATCCTATCCAAAAACGATGCATGCAACGTATTTTTACTTTCTGATCATGCTAAGACTTGCCTCCGTGTGACTGTTTTTTGGGAAAATTGAAGAAAATAGCAAAAAATGATAAAAAAGATGAATATTATAAAACTACGCACCATAAGCATCGTTATGCCTCACTTGTGTTCGACCGCGCCCCTAAAATAAGAATTTTGAGTTTCAGCACTTGTAAAAAGTTTTCAGAAACATAGAATTCAGGCAGATTTGATTTTCTTGAGAGAAACCAAAAAATGTCAAAAAATAGCGAAAACTGCCATAAAGGTAAAATAGCTAGAACATGTTCTAGTTCTGAAATTTGTAATGCCCGCTAATGAGTAGCAGTGTATTTAATAAAAATATCAAATGATAACTTCTTGAGCCATGAGGTGAGCATTATTGCGTTGAGTCAATTGAACTTCCCGTAAATCAAAGAATGAAAGGCAAAGAAATCAATTTTTTTTTCTTTTTTGTTTAAATGTTTACTTCTTTAAATTAGTAGTAATTGCCAAGCAGATATACATTCCGATCTTTCTAAAAAGATGGTTTTTAAAACGCTATAGTATCAAAAACATATCACCAGAAAAAAAAATCATTTACGATCGTTAAGCGGACAGACTGACTGAAAAATTCACTTCTATCCCTGGATAAATGGGATTTTCTGCAAAGCTCGAAAGTTTTACCGGCGAACCATTGTTGCAATCTGCTTATGAGTTGGACAGTTAATTTACTTTTCATACCCTTGAAATAACGGTATTCTATTAAAGGTGTTACGGCAATGGTTAACAGGGATCAAGGAGCTCGAATTTGTGTACCTCTCTGATCAGTTTGGCGCGTGGAGCCTTGCGCATTTTCGGACATGATTTAGTTTCTCTCAAGAAAATCAAATCTGCCTGAATTCTATGTTTCTGAAAACTTTTTACAAGTGCTGAAACACAAAATTCTTATTTTAGGGGCGCGGTCGAACACAAGTGAGGCATAACGATGCTTATGGTGCGTAGTTTTATAATATTCATCTTTTTTATCATTTTTTGCTATTTTCTTCAATTTTCCCAAAAAACAGTCACACGGAGGCAGGTCTTAGCATGATCAGGAAGTAAAAATACGTTGCATGCATCGTTTTTGGATAGGATGGAACAAATTTAGGGAGCATCGCGGTCCGTTTTCCGAAGTTGCCCAAAGTGGATCACCGCATAGCCGCATCATGCCGTGAGCGGCGGCGCGGCGCCCCAGTGGTTGTTAGATGAAGTTATTCTTATGTTGGCACATTTTATAGCCAAAAAACGAAATACCGCGGATCTGTCCATTTTCGCCCCGTTTAAATCAATGTAATTTTTTTGGAGATTTTTAGCCTCAAGTCGGCACGTGTTAATATTGTCGGAGAACGGAAATATTTGGCAGGTATCATATTTTAATGGTAAAGAACAAATTTAGGGGGCGTCGCGGTTCATTGGGCCAAAAAAAAGTTTCCCATGTGAACTTGGACCACCGTCATGTTAACCTCCATAACTTGTTTTTTTGTTATGACCGAAAAACCGATTTTGGGGAACTTCCCCCCCCCCCCCAGAAACTCAAAGCTGTCTCGCTATTGATGGGGACTTTTTTGGGGGGACTCAGGGGGTCATCAAGACTCACTATGCCAAGAATCAGCTTGTTATTAATTATTTCTCTTAATTTTCGTGTAATTCCTAAATGTACCTCTTTTCAATGAATGTAAAGTCTAATTCCAAAACGGGAATCTTTGAAATAAGTATGTGCAAGCATCTGTTTGATAAAACATGATAAAATGAATAATCAGTTGCAACTTGTATCATCTAATGAAGAAAAATGAATGGGTGCATCGTAAGCAAAAGCAAGTGCCTTGTTCAGAAACAAACCTATGAGTGAAATGATGTTTCATTCTTCTTTGTTGAAAAGATTAAACTACTCATTTGGGCCTAATTTACTCAGATTTTTAGGCATTGTTGCCCTGGCAAAGAATTTTTTGCATCCATTGAAGTTGGAACGTCCAATTGATCATTTGAAAATAAAGCTGTTGTTCCAAAAATGCCGATTTTGGCCCTCCGCTCGTATTAGTCCACACTTTGCTCAGATTGTCACCCTCTGGCCAAAATATCACAAGCACCACTTTGCCAACCTTTCAGGAGACACTAAAAACTGATTTGCGACTGCACAAGACGGAGTTACGGCTTGAAACTTGAAATACTGATCCAGCACAACTTCCTGTCTTAAATTTCAATGAAATTTCCCTAAAGAAACATTCTTTCGTTTGAAAATTGGCGTTTGTGATACCGGGTTCTTGGGAAATTTTGAGAACCCCTGGCGCTTGTGATTTGGAAGTTCGTCAAATTTAACGGGAGTTGTTTTTCTATATTTATTCACTTTTAATTGAAAAAAAAAAAGTATTATTCTCGTATGTAAAAACATTTTATCGATTCAAAACCATCCATAATTCAATTTTGATAAAAATAGCTGTTGTGATACTCCTGCCGGTAAGTGACGATTTGCTCCAGGTCATGTCAAGTGTTGTTGATGCTGTAATCATAAAAACAATCCCAGAGATAAGCGATTACCCAAATTGGCACTTGTGATGCTTTGCTCTCATATGGCACTTGTGATACAAAAGTTCATCAGCTTCAACAGAGTATTTTTCATATTTACTTACTTTTATTTTTAAAGAAATGTTATGTTTGAAAGTATCAGATGCATTTACATACGAAAATAATGTAGCTTCAAGTCATTCTGAGGGGTGCTGTAACAAAAAATTGTAAAAAATCAAGAAGGTAGGCGGTTGCCAAGATTGGCGCTTGTGATACGAAAGTAAATCAACTATAATCGATTCTTATTCATATTTCTACATTTTTATTCTGAAAAAAATTATTATTTTCATATGTACATGCATCTCATTATTTCGAAACTATTCATAACTCAATTTCGGTAAAAATGGCGCTAGTGATACTGTGGCCGGAAGGTGACGAGATGTTGCACTGATTCGACATTTTATTGAAAACTCCTTGAAATATAATAAATCAAGAATCTAGGTACTGACTTTCATCTCATAAGTGATGTAAGGACTGAAGCAGCACGAGTTCTTAAAGATGATGTTCTTGATTCGTCTGATTTTTGCAAACTCTTACCAAAATCAGTAGATATAGATTGACAAATTCAACAGAATATCAGATTCTATTAAAAACTCCTTGAAATATTATAAATCAAGAATCCAGGTACTGACTTTCATCTTATAAGTGATGTAAGGACTAAAGCAGCACGAGTTCTTAAAGATGTCGAAGTATTTTATTAACTAAAAAGGTTGTTCCAAAAACGCCGATTTTGGCCTCCCCTTGGTGTTGGTCCACACTTTGCTAGGATGTTGTACTAGTGTCCCTGATACCTGGAGAAAGTTTCAGCCCCCTCGAATGATTGGGGGGGGGGGAAGGCAAAGTTGCCGTTTTTGCAAGACTTTAACAATCGATATTTCCAGGACGGTTTGAGTGTAAGTGTTGCGTTTGCGCTAAAAAAACATCAAGAAATATCCTCTACAAGAGTATCTATACCGTTTTGATGGTTGCATAATTTATCTCAATCATAATTCGATTTTTTCGATCTTGACAGTTCGACTTTTTTCTGTTTATTGTATCTCCGCTCAAGGCAATCATTGCTAAGTGAACAAAAACCAGTCAGATGAAATTCTGCAACTACCACACTGTACTTGACCTTAGGGAATAATTTGGTCTCGAGCTACAGCAGCTTTCCTTCACGCGACGGGTCGGCGTCCAATTCAGACAAAGAAGAACTAGGGCCTGCAATATTTACAAAATCCTCTTTGAAGTGCAATTTTTATTTTTAATTCAAATTAGAACTTTAATTTGAAAAATTTTCCCTTTAACGTTGAGTAATGATGCAAAAAATCCGATATTTAGCAGTGTTCGCAACTTTTTAAAGTGAAATGTGCAAACCATCCTCAAATTCGGATTCTACATCAAAAACTCCGCAGGAATGATATAAAAATCACTTTTCTTTACTAATAGCAGACAGTAGTTTACAATCAGTGTGCCTGAAATAATTATGAAAAATATCAATTTTGGCCCATCTTGCTCCTAGAAATTGAAGATTGTAGTTAGTAAGGAGAATTTCTCCTACTTCAAATTGCTGAATTTCATTTTAAGCTTTGTTTTCAATATATTCTAAGTTGTACAATAAAGCGCATTTCTAACACTTTGCAATCTATGACGAATCCGGCGTCAATTCAATACAAAGAATGTAAAGTCCGATGTCTCCTCCAAAGAAACGTGTGTCTCCATAAAATTAGGCATTCTTAGGGCGATTCCTGTCAAGTCCTTCAACTGGTAGTGGACTGTCTGTCAAGGTTCAACCAGAGGTTGGTGTGTCTTGTCAATTTACAACTACTGGTTAAGAGCCTGTCAACGGGCTGATTTTCAACCAGTGCTATTTCTGCCTGTTAGGTTTCAACTAGGACTTGAGACCAAACATTTTTTCTTTCTTGGTTTACTGGTTTGCGAAGAGCCTGATGTAACTACCTGCGCTCGGTTTGCGGACCCCACCACCCGCACTCTCCTCTTTACGAGGGGTGCTCCGTCGTCTTCTTCAACTATCAATTGAATTTTTGGGAAGGGTTCCCAGACAGTAGATACAACCTGATGTAGGATATGTGGAAACAAATGTTAATGCACTATTTGGCAAGCAGTCTTTGTTCAGTAACTAGAGGTTGAAAATCAGTGACAAAACTCTCCCCTATGTTGAACTGAAAGTTACCCTTTACTGGTAGTTTGTCAACTAGCAGTTGATACCCAATCTGACAGGAATAGCCCCCAACATTTGGTATGCTGCAGAAGTTGTCAAATCGTGCAAACTGTTAAAAATGCGCTTTTTGCACGATTTGGCAACTATATTGGGACTATTTTTCAAAATATAGTTCCAATTTGAATTCAGCATATAAAAAAACATAAGAAACACTCTTCAAAGAGGGTTCTGTAAATATTGCAGGCCCTAGTTCTTCTTTGTCTGAATTGGACGCCGACCCGTCGCGTGAAGGAAAGCTGCTGTAGCTCGAGACCAAATTATTCCCTAAGGTCAAGTACAGTGTGGTAGTTGCAGAATTTCATCTGACTGGTTTTTGTTCACTTAGCAATGATTGCCTTGAGCGGAGATGCAATAAACAGAAAAAAGTCGAACTGTCAAGATCGAAAAAATCGAATTATGATTGAGATAAATTATGCAACCATCAAAACGGTATAGATACTCTTGTAGGGGATATTTCTTGATGTTTTTTTAGCGCAAACGCAACACTTACACTCAAACCGTCCTGGAAATATCGATTGTTAAAGTCTTGCAAAAACGGCAACTTTGCCTCCCCCCCCCCCAATCATTCGAGGGGGCTGAAACTTTCTCCAGGTATCAGGGACACTAGTACAACATCCTAGCAAAGTGTGGACCAACACCAAGGGGAGGCCAAAATCGGCGTTTTTGGAACAACCTTTTTAGTTAATAAAATACTTCGACATCTTTAAGAACTCGTGCTGCTTCAGTCCTTACATCACTTATGAGATGAAAGTCAGTACCTGGATTCTTGATTTATAATATTTCAAGGAGTTTTTAATAGAATCTGATATTCTGTTGAATTTGTCAATCTATATCTACTGATTTTGGTAAGAGTTTGCAAAAATCAGACGAATCAAATTTTATTGGGGAAACTTTAAAAATTATCTGGGTTAGGTTTCTTTTGATTGGGTAGCATGTCATTGACTGGGTCTTTCTTCTTTGTAATCCTCCTTAGGTAGTAAAATGGGTAACTTTCTTGAGTCGTTATCATTAAAGCTATTTTGTCCATCATCAGACGAAAATATGTAATATGAAGACAAAAGATAAAATACATCAGGGTACGCTACAAACTCTGATAAAGCCCAGGACTGATGAGGTGATGGCGCTGTGTTATTTTTGATAAGGATTACAACTGGTGTTACCTGTTGTTCAATCTGTATATTAATTAGTGTATCTGTCGGTACTTTATTGATTTTAAGTTATTCGAGGACGTTTAGAGCCTCCTACTCTTACCACACTTCTGGATGATCTTTATTGAACATTGTTCAAAGTTATGTGCTGCTGTTAAAATATGGTCAGCAAATGTAGATTTGCTTCTTGACGGGGTCTCACACTTCAAATGGATTACATTTTGCAATAAGGAACCACTATCTCTGGCTCTTTCATAAAAACACATTTCTGCATAGGGAAACCAATTGCATTTATGTTGTTTCTAAAATGGGCCAGAAATAGTGGTTCCTTATTGCAAAATGTAATCCAAATATTCTTCAGTTCTAACAGCTTTTTTCCAGTAGGATTGTCCAGTACATTGCTGAGCATAGCCACACTCAATTCCTCAACACACTCTCACCACTCTCTTCAAAAATATCACTTTTTACTTTCGTGTTAAACTCCATGCGCTTCAGATTTTTATTAGTGCCGTAAGTGATCTTGTGTTGGGTACCTTCAACTAATCAGAGTCCATAAGAGAAGGTAATGAAGTGCATGAACACTAATTCACTTTTTTCGTTGGCTCTTTTTCTGTTTGCAGTGAAGGAAAGACTGAATTAGAGGTTGATGTCAAAAAGGAAGACGTAGAAAAAGGTGGACCAGAAGATTCTCACCAAGTGAAGAAGCAAGTGATTGAATTAGCAAAAAAACTTTTGTCAGAATGGCAGTCGTTGAAGGAACTCTTCCGCATCCCTAAGAAAGAAAGAATTGAACAATTAAAAGAGCATGAGAGGGAAGCTGGTTAGTAAAATGATGATTTTCACAAGATGTTATGCTCAAATTTTGAAAATACTTCAATAGTAGGATGCTTGGGATGGTTTTGGTGCATTCAAATTCCAGGACAAATGCAATTTTGGATCCTTTTTTGCGCCAGGGAACTAAATCTATGAAAATTTGAGTGGTTTTGATCAAATGGGTCTATTGCATGCAAGAGGCACAGCCAAGTTTATACTAGTAAAATTGCGTGAAAATCACGTCGGACACATCAAAAAGAATGAAATTATCTCCTTGGCACACAATCTACACAGTTTGTAACACACGCTTTCAAAATTCCTGTGTCCGCATGCAGTTCCTCTTAGTGGTGGATGTACAAAAACCTAACCTACATAAACAAATAATCTTTGTACTGTAACAAACTTGCCTTATGTATAATTTCTATTGAATTAAAATTTAAGTTTTTTAAACATAAAGAAATAAGGAGAAATCAAATGCTTGAAATAATATTCAAACATTTTTTTGCAAGATTATTCCTTTATTTTTAGGTTAACTTTTTTTGTGTCTCTAAAGGTAGACTCGACTGCTGGTCACTGGTCACTTAGAAAAACTGCGTGCTATGTTCTGTAGGAATTTTTAGAAAGCCTCTCAAATCTATGTAGATTGCATGCTTAGGAGTGGATGCAAGACATATTTTATGTGCCTATTGTGTTTTTGTGCAATTTTACCTGTCAAAAGTCTTTTCGCTCAGCTGGATCTCTTGCGTGCATCAGACCCTTTACAACATGAGCTTTGGTTACATAATACCTTGTGGGAAAGAGAAATAAAAAGGAAAATGAAGAAATTGTGCCAAACTCTGGTTACAAGTCTAATAATATTTAAAAATTACAACTGTTTGAAGTCTAAATATGTAATTGCAGAAAAGCAGCATTTTGGTTGTTTACTGATAGGGTAATCCGAGCTATAATGTGCCGAAGTTTCTCAATTCCTAAAGAATGAATACATCCCTTCCAAAATATTCCCACTATTTTCAAAATGGAGGCCCGCTATGAATAGCAACAAATTGGTACCTCTCATTATGCATTTGTGCAGGTTTCTCTTTTCTCACTCATTTGTATCGGTTTACCATTGAGTCAAGGTATCACCACATTATTTGAAGGAGCTATTCTTTTCAGATAATTTATGGTTTAGCAGAACAGAGATGAAAACTCCTATTATTGCCTAAGTCATCTTAATAATTGTAGGAGGTAGTAGATGTGCACATGATGCAGCAACAGTGTTGCAGCTTAAGAGGAAGAAGAATAGAATGTCTTGATACCTGTGCTTTGTTACATGTTCCTTAATAACAGCCTGTTTTGATGTACATATAAGAAGATGGGAATTTCGTTGAGATGCTGTCTGTCAGCCTATCAAATATAAGGAATGAGCCAGTTCGGCTGAACTTTTTTATTACATATTATAAAAGTACTAGGTTAAATGAATATACAGAATTTTTTTCAGATTTTTTTGAGCTCTCTGGCCTGAGAAATTTTACTTTAAAAAACACCAAAAATTGAAGGTCTCTGAAACGCTTTTTGAATCCGGGCCGTTGGCGCGAACGCCGTTTTTGACGTCACACCTTAGGTGATGACCCTTGGTTTATTCCGAGTTAGTCTGAACAATATGGCTGCTGCCCGGTTTGTTTATTTTGTGAAAGTTTCTATCTGTATACAGGGTGTTTCAGACCACCCGTACCAGGCCTTTTTCTCGGTTGGTATAGGTCGCACGAAGTCGGAGACCGCGGGGTTGAATTGGCAATTGACCCCAAGGAATCCGAATCTCGTGGTCCCGAAACCCCCCCACCCCCCCTTGGAGGGAAAAGGGGGGGTCACGATGCTAAAAGTCACGGTTCCCGACCGAATTGCGGATGGATCGCATCAGACTTGAAAAGCACGGAAAATTTCACGTGGAATTGACCCCTAAAAATCCAAAATCGGACCATCCAAGGCCCAACAATGACCTCCTAAAGAGGGGGACAGTACCCCCCTCCATAATTTCTCTTTGGTCTCAAAATTGACGTAAATTCTCCAGATAAAGACGGTTTCCCAGGTAATCGACCTCGAGAAATCCAAATTTCATAGTCTCGAAGCTCCTCTAGCCCCCCTGGGGGGGTAAACGGGGGGGGGGGCCCAATTTAAAAAATCGGGGCTCCTTTCCGAAAGGGGCCTCGCCCCCGCCAAAAATTTCTCAGGATTCCTCTTTGGTCGCAAAATGGACGTCGATTCTCCGGAAAAAGACGGTTTCCCATGTAATCGACCCGGAGGAGCTCAGGGAACATGAAATTTAGAGTCCTCGGGGTCGATTACATGGGAAACCGTCCTTTTCTGGAGAATCGACGTCAATTTTGCGACCAAAGAGGAATCCTGAGAAATTTTTGGCGGGGGCGCGGCGAGGCCCCTTTCGGAAAGAAGCCCCGATTTTTTAAATTGCCCCCCCCCCCCGTTTATCCCCCAAGGGGAACTAGAGGAACTTCGGGACTATGAAATTTGGATTTCTCGAGGTCGATTACCTGGGAAACCGTCTTTTTCTGGAGAATTTACGTCAATTTTAAGACCAAAGAGAAATTATGGAGGAGGGTACTGTTCTCCCTCTTTAGGGGGTCATTGTTGGGCCTTGGATGGTCCAATTTTGGATTTTTAGGGGTCAATTCCACGTGAAATTTTCCGTGCTTTTCAATTCTGATGCGATCCATCCGCAATTCGGTCGGGAACCGTGACTTTTAGCATCGTGACCCCCCCTATATTCCCGAAGGGGGATGGGGGGGGTTTCGAGACCACAAAATCCGGATTCCTTGGGGTCAATTCCCTATTCAACCCTGCGGTCTCTGACTTCGTGCGACTTATACCAACCGAGAAAAAGGCCTGGTACGGGTGGTCTGAAACACCCTGTATTGTGATTTAGAGGTAAAATTTGACGAGAAATTTATTGAAACATTTGGTCTAGTCCGAAATTAACTCTTTCTTGATGAAAAAGGCGTTAAAGTTCGCGAAATTTATTCACCGGGCGACCGCGAGTGAGCATCGGCTATCGGAAACGATGGGCTCGTAAACAAACGAAGATTGATAACAGGAAGGATCCAAACAACTCGGAATCTTTTAATTTTCTCTACCTTTAAACCATTTCTGACTTCTACAAAGCATCTGACAATCAGTTTCATCGTATTTTACAGCCTGGAGCTAGAGTCTATCGGCTCATTGTGATGTGTATTCAGAGCATTCTAAAACAGAAAGTCAGTTCTCATAAGTTCACACCCAGACATTCTTTTCTTTGATCATTCGCTTTTCATTTTCGCCTCAAATCAAGTGTTCTGTAGTTTCTTCATCTGAAGTATGTGGTTTTGAATTCATACAAGAGTTTGAAGTTCACCTTTTTTTTAGCATTAAAGCCTGTTGACCCCTTAAACTTTACCGATATGATTACAGTTCAAGGTTCCTCTGGTACGCACCAAGTGATTACACATCAAAGATGTGTCTTATGGTTCTTCCAATTAGCAGTTCAGAAGTAAATTAGAAACTACAGTAACTTAATCCACTCCTGCCCTTTTCTTCAGTGTTTGTTTCTGTCTGTTCTTTATGCGTTACCACTCTAGTGCATACACCGGTAATGTAGGTTAGATAGGTATTATCGCATATTTTCTATTAACAGTACTTTCTCTTAAGCGTTCTAATTTAGCAAAGAAATTCCACCAGTTGCAGAAAATTGTGTGCGTAATGAATAAGTGAATATGAATACCTCCTTTTGGTGACTCAAAGTTTCTCAGATCCGTCTTAAGTAGGTTTTGCATGTAGGCGATCACTTTTGCCAGATGAAATTACTGCTCTAGCAGCTTCAAATTTATACTTTGATCTCTGATTCACTCATAAATGACACTTTATGGTGTCATTTATATTTAATCAGTTCAAAGCTAATTCGACAATGAATCATCAAAGGTCCGATTGAGGAAGAAATTTGCCGGTGAGTGCCACGGCTGAATCGACATTCCAACTAGACTTGCGAAGGTATCAACCCAAACAGACTCATGAGGAAGTGATACCTATATGGTAAGTGATACTTCTATCGAGGCTATTTCATTTCTTAGGTGCGGTGTGCATCAAAAATTTCCAAAGCTGCTCATCTGCAGTCATATACTTGAAGAGGAGTACGACATGAAATGTAGGTGAAGTAACTAAATCGTGGGAATGAGGTAATCCTACAGCTTCTCTCCACTGAGACTGAACTCCACAAGAATGTCTGGGTGTGAACTTATGAGAACTGACTTTCTGTTTCAGAATGCTCTGAATACACATCACAATGAGCCGATAGACTCTAGCTCCAGGCTGTAAAATACGATGAAACTGATTGTCAGATGCTTTGTAGAAGTCAGAAATGGTTTAAAGGTAGAGAAAATTAAAAGATTCCGAGTTGTTTGGATCCTTCCTGTTATCAATCTTCGTTTGTTTACGAGCCCGTCGTTTCCGATAGCCGATGCTCACTCGCGGTCGCCCGGTGAATAAATTTCGCGAACTTTAACGCCTTTTTTCATCAAGAAAGAGTTAATTTCGGACGAAACCAAATGTTTCAATAAATTTCTCGCCAAATTTTACCACTAAATCACAATAAACAGATAGAAACTTTCGCTAAATAAACAAACCGGGCAGCAGCCATATTGTTCGGACTAACTCGGAATAAACCAAGGGTCATCACCTAAGGTGTGACGTCAAAAACGGCGTTCGCGCCAACGGCCCGGATTCAAATAACGTTTTTGAGGGGAACGATTTTAAAATCGCATTTTCTCCCCTTAGCAATCTTTTTCAAAACTTTTCATTGTGCTCATTGTTTTTCTGGTGAAATTTTACATACAGTGCAATAGCTTTTAAGCCAATCCCTCACCAGCCGAACCGCCTCATAGAGATAATGACTAACAGAATAATACTCGTTTTTCTATAAACAAATAATGTTCACTTTGTTTGTGATCCAAGTTGTACCTTAAAAGTAAGATTCTTTTATATAAAACCATGATAAGGCCGGTGTGGGCGTATGTCTGTCAACTATAAGCCTGTTAGGCAAACTCAAACATTCGGGAGATAGTAACCATCCCAAGTATTGCTCTGAGGAAAATAGCAAAAGTTCGTTGGTATGAGAGAAACGTGTATATCAGAACGGAACTCGGATTAGAAAGACTGGAGGCTTTTGTCTCTCATATGTATGAGAGATACGAGGAGCGTCTGGGGTCCCACCCCAATCATGAGGCAATTCAGCTTCTGGACTGGGTCGGGAAGACCGGACGTCATAAACGCAAGAATTCCTCACGAGCTTCACTTGCCAGACTTTAAGAAAGTCTGAGTTTATGCACTGAATTTTGTTTAGGGACTCTCTTTCCCACTTTCAGGGTGCCGTTCTCCTCTGTCTCCGTTGACAAGAGAGTATCCCAAAATTAAAAGACAAACTGACTGATAAAACAGCCATGTTGCATGTAAGATATAAATAGTTAGGTTTTTTCCTAGCACTTTTAACCACTCTTTAATCTTTAATATCATACTACACCTTAAACTGTTCCTTTTTCTACATTGCTTTTTCTCTTCTTTTCTTTTCTTGTTCCCTCTTAATCGTGTTTGCATTTGTAATTTCTTATGAATTTACAGCCGTCTCCTATATCTCCCTGTGAATTGGGGTAGGGTAAGGTAGATGTTGATGTGGATGTCTTTGAAATTTCATTTATTGTTGTCATCATTCTTCAATAATTATTAAGAATCGCCAATTGAGACTCAACTATGCCTCAAGTTGAATCCCTAAAGCAAACAAGAAGTAAGTGTTGGAATCTCCATGTTCACATATGTTATTTTTCTGGGGTGAAAGTATGAAAAGAGTGAAACCTAAAATCTTGACTTTACGAAGAAAATTATAAATAAGGTTTTACAGCCTGTATGTATAATGTCATATTTTTGGTTCCCAGATAGAGGATATATCAGAGACCTGGAGCATAACAAACACAAGAGTAAATCATATGATCGCCGAGAACAAAATAGGTATAGCTGGGTGAACCCAGACTATCGAAAAGATTGGGACTGGGATCGGAAAAGAAGTCGAGATGGATCACCTGACTATGATCGGCCGAGAAAATCAAGATTTGAAGACAGGCAAGACAGGTAAGATAACTAGAATTTCCATCTTTCTGAAAGAGTTTTTCGCAAAAACCTCTTTCTGTCCAGTCCAGTAAAATGTATTTCATTGAGTTTTGTGTTATTTTTCAGGAGACTTTGAAAAATAAATAAGCCGCTTAACATGGAAATATTTCAAAAATATTTTTGAAATATTGTCAGAAACATTTCAGCAATATTGAAATACGAGGGGCGTTCAATAAGTAAGTATCCCCCCTCTCTAAAATCGATTAGAATGGACCAATTTTAAAAAAACTTGGGCTCAAAATCTTCCTTAGGATATTTTGAGTTCAACAAAACAAACCGCAACAAAATCGGACTATGTGCGGCCGAACGCGAGCCGTTTGAACGCGCCGAGGTGCTCGACGTTCCCGCCGAATCCGCGAGGATTTGAAGTCCGCTACAGGAGAAGAGCTTCTCTGCCAAAGCCTCAGTCGTTCATCACTGACGAAAAATCAAAGAAATGTTTGTAGAATAAGGAGCTTACCTCACTTCTCCACATAAGCAGCTCGATCCAAGCAAGTCTGATACTGAGACTAAGACTAAGAGAACAGCTTTTGGATGCCTCGTGCGTGGAAGTCTTTCAGTTGACCGCGGATGAAAGAGTGGACGGCTTGTTTTGACCTCTTCCACTGATTCAAAATTAACTCCTCCGAGTTCAGATTTCAGATACGATAATAAATGGCAAACCAGACCACCATTTATTCCCGTTCCTGAAATCTGAACTTGGAGGAGTAAATTTTGAATCAGTGGAAGAGGTCAAAACAAGCCGTCCACTCTTTCATCCGCGGTTAGCTGAAAGACTTCCACGCACGAGGCATCCAAAAGCTGTTCTCTTAGTCTTAGTCTCAGTATCAGACTTGCTTGGATCGAGCTGCTTATGTGGAGAAGTGAGGTAAGCTCCTTATTCTACAAACATTTCTTTGATTTTTCGTCAGTGATGAACGACTGAGGCTTTGGCAGAGAAGCTCTTCTCCTGTAGCGGACTTCAAATCCTCGCGGATTCGGCGGGAACGTCGAGCACCTCGGCGCGTTCAAACGGCTCGCGTTCGGCCGCACATAGTCCGATTTTGTTGCGGTTTGTTTTGTTGAACTCAAAATATCCTAAGGAAGATTTTGAGCCCAAGTTTTTTTAAAATTGGTTCATTCTTATGGATTTTAGAGAGGGGGGATACTTACTTATTGAACGCCCCTCGTAATATATTTTAAAACTATTTTATCAATGTCAAAAAATTGTTTTGGCAATACTGTTGCAACATTTAATATATCTTTACTACGGAATATTTCTGAAATATTGCCAGCCAAATATATCTCAAATCAGCTGTGTTGTATATACATCATTTTTGTTGTTACATCTGCGCTTTGCAGTTGTTCCATTTTAGTGAGCAAACGACGTTTTCATTTCCCTTGCCCTACTCAAAGCAACACAAAGTTGATCATGTGCAAAGAAATGATCCCAAAGGTCGACTCCAATGATATCCAGGGTCTGGCCTTAAGATTTATTAACAGTTGACGCATACGCTAGTGGAACTGGAAACTGTCGCCTCATGATCTGAAGTCCTGTTTTGTCAGCTGATAGTTTAAAATTTACGCGGGGTATTAAAAATGTTTTTGACGTTTTTTCGGGGCTTGAAACTTCAAGGAGAAATTTTAACTTATTACTTACAAACATTTTTCTACCATTGACCAACCTGTCTTCAATCTTTAAATTTCTAATCAAAACGCACATGGTCCCAGTTTTAACTTTTATATGAGGGTCATCCAAAAAGTAAGTTTCCCTACCTTGTATCTTCCGAACGAAAAGAGAAAAATCAAATCGGTAAAAAGGCACTGATTAGGCATACTTTAAGCTTTAAAACAAGCTCAAGTTTTTGAAAATCGGTTAAGGGGTTTGCGAGTAAACTTAATTTTACTGAGACAACCTCCTGTTGCCGCGTGCCCACCTCCGGGGTCAGGATGCGCGGAGAGTCGACTATATAATACTCGGGTTATCGCCTCTATACATCACATCAACAAGGAATTTTAATGTTTTCATTGAGTAGGCCTTACCTTACTTTTTGACGTAGTCTCCACATCTTTTTTGATATTTCTGGTATCATCATGGCAGCTTCTTGATGCCTTCCGCGTAGAGGCTTTCGCCTTGACTCTGAAACCAGTCATTGACAGCGATCTGTACCTCTGAATCGGTTGAAAATCGCTTCCATTGTGGAAGTTTTTCCGCTCGGGAACAAATGAAAGTCACATGAAGCTAAAGTACGAAAGTTTGAAGGATTGGGGGAAAATTTCTCTACGCAAAGCAACTGATTTGGGAGGGCAGATCGCTGTCAATGACTAGTTTCGGAGCCAAGACGAGATCTTCATCGCGGAGGGCGTCAAGAAGCTGCTGTAATGATACCAAACATGTCAAAGAAGATGTGAAGACTATGTCAAAAAGTAAGGTAACTACTACTAACTACTAGTAAGGTAGTTACTCAATGAAAACTTTAACATTTCTTGTTGATATGATGTATAGAGGCGATAACCCGAGTCTTCTATAATCGACTCTCCGCGCATCCTGACCCCGGAGGTGGGCACGCGTCTACAGGAGGTTGTCTCAGTAAAATTAAGTTTACTCGCGAACCCCTTGACCGATCGTCAAAAACTTAAGCTTGTTTGAAAGCTAAGAGTATGCTTAATATGTGCTTTTTTATTAATTTGATTTATCTCTTTTCGTTCGGAAGATGCAAGGTAGGGAAACTTACTTTTTGGATGACCCTTGTATCATGATCAGGAACGCCAGGTTCCAGCGAGTGCTAAAGAACTCGAGGACACTGTTCAAGCAAGGAGCGAGCGAAGCATATGATAGGACAGGCTAAGGATGACAAAAAAGTGAGGTGACTTGGTCTGCTCTCGATCATCAAAACAAATTTTTTTCTTCCGTGAACTGCGCGAGTGTGCATCCGTAAAGTGGGCTCCACCAGTCACCATGGATACCGACTGGAGGGGCTGCGCCATAGTGTGTCAAAACCCCCCTAATATCAAGTCAACGAATGGTATTATTTATGGTCAGAGTGGGTTCACAGGAACCCACTGGTCTTGTATCTATGATGGTTATAATATTTTGGTCGCTAATATTATGAGGATTGCAGCCGGTAGAAGTCCTGCCTCAATCTCGCCATCAAGAGTGTTGCCACTGTATTGTTCTTTCTTAGAGTAGTTTGGGGTAAAAAAGTGTCATTTCTGGATGAAACGAGATGTTAAAGGCCAGAGAAAGGAAGCATGACACTTGATTTGACCAAGAAAATTATTTAAGTATTATAATGGCTCATTGAAAACAGTGCATGAACCCGTTTACCCTTCCTGCAATATTTCGTGTTTGGAGGGGAAAATGTTTTATAATATTTGAGAGATAAAATTACTAAGTTTTACTCGTAGCTTTAATGTCAATTTTGCTTGCCTCAGTACCACCGAGAGGTTTTCCTTTTCTTTTCTTTTCAAAATATAAAAACAACACCAAAAACTCAGGTGCTTTTCTAGTCTGAGAGAATCAACATTATTCAATCGTGCAGATCTGATAAAGTTTTTTCAAATAATCTCATTGATCAAAGTTTTCATACTAATAATTTCCGATTTCCATAAATTTTTAATTAGGAGCATTTAATACAATGAGGTTTCCAAATTTGAAATTATCAATGGAAACCAGGTGGCAAACTAACGTGTTCACATATTGTGTGCAGCATCACTTAAGATTCCTGCGAAGCCTAAGTGCCCCTTTTGACCTGGTGGCGAACAACTGTACAAAGCGTTGTATGGTCGCTAATTCCTAAAAAAACAGGTACTAGTGCATGTCTAGTTCTGATCAAGCAAGGATTTTGGCGCCACAGAAATTCTTTGATGAAGGGGAGTGGGCATCATTGGAAGTTTGATCAAAATTGTGTCTCTTGACCTCTTTTGGTTTTCTGAAAATACTTTAGCCTCCCTCAGTTAAATAATTTTCACACATTTGTAATGCCTTTGACGAACAAAAAGGGCTCCAAAAATCGAAGGCTCAATTGTGCACTCGCTTACCAAGTCGTTCAAAATAATTGGTGGGAATTGCTGAAAATTTGGTCAACGACGATGCTGCAGCAAAATTTGTGCAAACGCCAAAGCTTTTCGTAAGATAAGATTTGTATATCAGTCTTGAAGAAATTCTCGAGTCAGCTTATATTTTACTAGGAACAGCAAAGAGAGACGAAGAATTCTTGGGGTGGATGATGATGAAAATTGCTATCTGGAACAAGATCAAAGACAATTTGATGATGAAAGGCAGCAAGAAGAAATGTGGAGAAACAATGGGAGGGATCCCAACAGTGGTCCTTGTTATCCTCGGCCTCTAGGGCCTTGGCCTCCTTTCCCTCCAGGTAATTTCAGGGTACTCTCTCTACATTTCTATTTTCAGAAGTTTTCTATTTGTTCTTGCTTTGACCCTTAATTTTAGTAGAAACCTGCACATAATTTAGCAATGTTGAAGCTTTTCTTTTCATCTCTATTCAATTATTCCACCTTAATCACTTTTTTTTTTCAAAAGAGCTCTGTGCATTAGACATGTGTCAACAATGCTATGAGTTAGCCACATCTTATCATTAGGAACTATTGCCACCCTCTGGCCAAAGTATCTCAAGCACCATTTACGCCTAATTTATGCCAAACACCGCTGTAACGCTCTAATTTTTTCTTTAAAACTCTGGTACATCCTTTCATTAAAATTTCAGGGATGAATTTTGATGACTAAAAAAATATCAGGTAAAATGTTTAAGTGATACTGTTTTTTTAGTCTCTCAATAAAAAATTGGATAGGTTTGAGAAATTTGAAAACTACTCTTCAAGTACAAATGGTACTTGTGATACTTTGGCAAGAAGGTGACGATGTGTCATCAAACTTTTCAAGTAATCACTTTTTTTTTCGTGAAAAGACGTGACTATTATCAAATTGGTCAGATGTTTCCGAACCAAAAGGGCAGCAAAAGTTTTTCCAGGCTGCCTCAAAGTGAAATTTCAAAAATTTTCCAGATGTGTAATACATCCATTCTCAGAGACTTTAAGCTGCAAAATCTAATATGATCTTAGACTTTAGTTACCACCCACCATTTTCGTAGCTTTTCTAGGAAAATGGTGGGAAAAATTGGCCTCTCCGGAAAATTGGAGGGTGATGGAAAAACCGAGGTCACTTGTGAATTCAGTGCCTCAAAATGCACGAGGATCGCCTTATTCTGTATCCGAGACAGTTTTGTCTCTTTTTTGTACTGTAATCACTTAGCATTCCCCTTTTCCAATTTTTCAAATCCATTTTTTTTCTTTTGCAAACATCTCATTCCCCTTTTCCAATTTTTCAAATCCATTTTTTTTCTTTTGCAAACATCTGTCATTGTCTGAGTTGAAAGTGTGTTTCAAGTAAGGACTAAGTGTGAAAAAGGCAGTAAGAAAGCAAGGATTTAAGAAAACCTCCAAAGAAAGGAATTTTACGGGAAGTATAAAAAAGGTAAAGAAACTGTAATCAAACGGCGAGGAACTTAGACATCAGTAGACACCCTGTGATTTTAATCATTTTTGAGATAAGATGCAATCATGAACATGGTGCACAGACTTGTTGAAAGATTCAGGTAACCCCAAAACAAGTCCTTACCTCTTTCACAATTGTGTCTGAATTTAAGAAGTATTTCAATCCCAAAATAATCCAAAGAAAGAAAAATATACACCAGCGGTTTTTGCATGAGTTGATTCAATCTTAATTGATTCTCGGATTATTGTATACATTCTTGAAGACAGAAGAAGAGAAAAAACTGATGTTTACAATTTTGAATTTTGAGCCATCATTGGTATTTTGTCACTTAATTTAGCTTTCTCCTCTGACGGTTGATGTAGTATTGCAAACATGTTCAGAGGCATGAGCATTGAACAAAAAGGGGGAAACAAAGAAAAAGAGAGCATATTTTTCCTGATACAAAGAATGGATTTCAAAGATGTATTGTAAAGAGAGATATCCACTAATATTTTGATATTTAAATTCAACCAAAAGAGTAAATGAGGTATTCGTATGAAAAGTATCAGTCAATGTGGACGTATTTATATGAAAGGGAACTAAGTGCCAAATTTCCAAATTTCAGTTTTTAACGGATCTGGATTCTCCATGTAATAAGCTGCTCTCACACGTAAATATGCCCCCAAAATACTAATTTCATCCCCTGGGATCAGCCCCTGAAAAATCGCAAAACAGGGAATCAGCGATTACGAATAAAATAAAAAAGAACTGTGTGTAATTCCCTTTGATTTAATGCGCTAACCCGGATTCCGAATTAAATCAAAAGGAGCTATCTCCACTGGATTGATGCGCGCGCGGCGGAGCTTGGTGGAAACTTGGTGAATCTTATTAACAGGGGTTTTTTTTGGACTGGAAACTCGAATTTCGAGACAAATTTTGAAAAATTTAGAAATCCAAGATGGCGGACATGGCCTAAAATGCTATCTCGGCCCTGTCCAGCCGATCTGAGTGAAACTTGGTATCAGGAGGTATTTTCGAACGGGAAACTCGAATTTCGGGTCAAATTTTAAAAATTCATAATTTCAAGATGGCGGATGTGGCCTAAAATGTTATCTCCTATTTAAACGCGCATCGCCGAAAAATCCCAGATGTCATCTGGTAGATCCCCTGATTGACAGTCATATATCGACCGTGCGTTCCCTCTGGCTCGATCGATGTCAGTGTGCACTGACACGGATAACAGGCTTTTAACGAGCGAACAAATTAACAAACCCATTGGAATCACTTAATTTTAATTAAAATACTGTTAGGTACTTTATTGGAATCGGAACAGTATTTAGAAATTCATGAGTAGTAAGAGCGCGCTGGAAGGATTACATGGTCAAAAGCGTGACCGTCACCTACGGGTTCGTCAGGCCCCATCTTGACTTCCTCGGAGACGCGAGTTTAAATGGGAGCTCAGAATACGCAACTTCGAACTTGTTTTCGGTGGGTTTATAACGTTTCAAAAAGTCGGAGAAAATTCCAGCGAACTGTGCGTACTCAATCCTCCAAGAAAATGCAAAAATTAAAAATTACTGAATAACCTTATTGTTAAAATTTTAATATCCAATATGGCGGATGTGGATTTCAACAACAGCTCAATGCCTGAATCGTTTATGTGAAGTTCGGTATTAGGGGCTAAAAATGACAACAGAAACTGTTTTTATTTAGATACGAAAATTTTAACATAGGTAATCAGCACATGAAGGGAATTCACAATCCGACGCTACCAGGTAAACCACGCACCTCGACGAGGCGGTGTATTGTGAACGTAGAGTGCCATATATTTAAAGTTTACAAACGTGGAAATTTTCACATTTAATCCTCATTGGCAAGATGCAGCGGGAATGCAGATTGAGGTTAGGTAGGTATATTTGGGCTCCCACCCCCTCCGGCCTTCACAACCCGGCCCGTGCGCGTTACGCAGGTTCATTGGCGGCCATTCTAGACGTGCAGTGCGTTTCTTTAAAAAGGAGATAGCATTTTAAGCCACATCCGGCATCTTGGATTTCTGAATTTTCAAAATTTGACCCGAAATTCGAGCTTTCCGTCCGAAAATACCCCCTGATACCAAGTTTCACTGAGATCGGCTGGACAGGGCCGAGATAGCATTTTAGGCCATGTCCGCCGTCTTGGATTTCTGAATTTTCAAAGTTTGACCCGAAATTCGAGTTTCCCGTCCGAAAATACCCCCTGATACCAAGTTTCACTCAGATCGGCTGAACAGGGCCGAGATAGCATTTTAGGCCATGTCCGCCGTCTTGGATTTCCTAATTTTTAAAATTTGACCCGAAATTCGAGTTTCCCGTCCGAAAATACCCCCTGATACCAAGTTTCACTCAGATCGGCTGGACAGGGCCGAGGTAGCATTTTAGGCCATGTCCGCCGTCTTGGATTTCCTAATTTTTAAAATTTGACCCGAAATTCGAGTTTCCCGTCCGAAAATACCTCCTGATACCAAGTTTCACTCAGATCGGCTGGACAGGGCCGAGATAGCATTTTAGGCCATGTCCGCCGTCTTGGATTTCTTAATTTTTAAAATTTGACCCGAAATTCGAGTTTCCCGTCCGAAAATACCTCCTGATAATAAGTTTCACCAAGTTTCCATCAAGCTCTGCCGCGCGCGCGTCAATCGAGTGGAGATAGCTCCTTTTGATTTAATTCGGAATCCGGGTTAGCGCATTCAATCAAATGGACCTACGTGCAAAATCCCCTATGTCTCGCTTAATATGCATTTTTTCGTAATTTTGGCAACGTGAGTAATTAGAAGAACTCTTCAGCTTTCAAACAAGCTAAAGTAAACCAAAATCGGTCCATTAGTACGGAAATGCCAATGGTTTTAGTCAAACTTGCTTTACTGAAAAGTTTGGAAATGGCGTTTAGCGCCTTTTCGCATAAATACGTCCATGTAATGAAACACATTTTCATACATTCTTCTTTGACAATTTTCCAGATCCAAATATGATGCCATCAGATATGCCTCCACCAGATTTGGGGTTGTATGGCCCTCCAAACGGTGGGAACCCTCCCGGTCCAATGATGTATCCACCTGGTCCTATGATGGGTAGGCCACCAATGCCATTCGGGGTGGATCCTAGCTGTATGTCATTCCCTCCAATGACGCCCCAGCCACCTGTGTTCAATCCTCAAGACCCGAACTTCCAGCCACCTGTGCCCATGTACCCCCAGCAAACAAACATGCCTCCTATGCCGATGGGACCTCCAATGGGTCCAGGACAGAACTGGCCTGTAGAAAATGCTGCACCATTTCCACCCATGCCAAAGCAAGAAACCAACTACTCTCAAATGCCTCCTTTGCCTCCGGGTGAATTGGCCCAGCCTCAGTCAAGTGTGGTGCCCCCAATGCCACCATCGTTCACAGCACCCATTATTAAACTCCCTCCCAAATGGCGTTCAGCAACTGATACTTTAGGTATAATTTTTGAGTCTTTGAATAGATAATCAAAGGAATATTGATCTTAAACATTACCATCTTAGTACGAGGGTCATTTGATCAACACATTAAAGTTGAAGTAATAGAACCTTCATAATTGGTCCCTGTCACCATTATCTCTGCTACCTCTTGTTTATAGGTTGCCCATCACCACATAATCTCCTAGTAAATCAAAAGCTTGATTTTGGCTGTCATTCATAAAAAATGCAGTTTTTTCTGAGGTATCAACTATGGATTTTTTTGTTTGGATTTTCCTATACAAGCGAGTAACTCATTTGAGGAGAGTTGGGTGTGGGCAAAAACATCGGGCCCCTTGTTTGGCCACTACTGGTTTCACGCATGTTAGCAATCATCAGGTGTGCAAAGACAGCCAGTCCCGATTTGAAGTTCGAACACTGTGAGATGCCGTGCAAATCAGAATGCCGCACTCCCTTGGAAACCACACTAGCAGAAAACTAGGTTTATCATGGCTGATCCCTCAGAAAAAACTGCATTTTTTATAAATGACAACCAAAATCAAACTTTTGATCTAAATAGGCACAGATGCAAGAGTGCTGAGCAGCTTGTCCATAAATGGACTGCTCGAATTTCTGCTGTTGGCGACCGTCAGGTCGACTTGCAAGTAGCGTTCATGTCGGCTTGCAGTCGTTGTGGCCAGAAGTTAAAAGTAGGAGTTGTTGGGTGGCTAACGGTAGAGGGTGTAAGCCAGGCTGCCAGTGCGGTTCCCGCCGGAGCTCAGCATTTTGATTTGCACGGCATCACAGAGTGTTCAAATGTTAAAGCGGGACTGGCTGTCTATGCACACCTGATGATAGCTGACGAGCGTGAAACCAGTAGTAGCACTGACAACAGGCCCGATTTCTTTGCCCACTCCCAACTCTTCTCCAATAAGTTACTTGTTCTTATGAGAAAAGCCATACAAAAAAAACCATGGCTGTTACCTCAGAAAAACTGTATTTTCTAAATTCAAACTTTTTAATTTCTTTGGTCAAGCTAGTTATTTTGATTGCTCGCTAACATTCTGAAAACTTCCGATTATTTCACAGCATATGTTTTCATTCTAGTCTCATTGAGTGTCATAGTTTTTTTAGTATGAAAAAGTGACTGCACCCCCTTTCTCTCCCTTTCAAAGTCGGGGAGTGATGATGGATTCTTGATAATTTGGGCTGTACAAACCTTCATAAGGTTCAAAATAAACAGCAGGCTTAGGTTTAAAAATATCAGTTTGAAAATGTCGATCGTTTGGTGTGTATATAGAAAATTCTGTATGACTGTATGAAAATTTTAGGAAAAATATTTTCATGATTGATAAGATTTTTACTCATTAAATGTACGGTCCCAAAATGTTTATGAAGTCTACACGAGAATACCAGATGCACCTATCAAAAGAAACTCAATAAATTATCTATCATCACATAGCTATCAAAATCAATTTTTACTGTGCTAAGCATGCCCAAGTAAATTAACTGCCAAGCATTGAAATAGCCAACAATAGCCTTTTCTGGGCTCATTAGAATGTGTAAGCATTGTTCAGGAAAATTTATCCAGCGGTTAAGGAATGAATGAAATAAAATACTTTGGCAGCCAAACCTGAATTACGGAAAAACATGGCACTATTCTAACGCTTTCTGATGAGTTTTCCTGGCAGGAGTGAATCGTTGATATTTCCACTAAGTTCTCTTATATAATTTCAGGAAGAACTTACTACTATCATGCAAAAACGCGCGTGTCTCAGTGGGAGCCACCTCCTTGGCAGCCACTTCTAACAAATACAGCATCTGATTCTTCTTCAGACTCCGATGATGATGAAGATAGCCTCTCCGATGATGATGACTCAGATGATTCAGAAAATGACTCGGATAGAATGGAAGAGAACAATGGTGTTCAAGGAGACAACGATGAGGATGATTATGATTTGAATGAGCTCACTGCTGGAATGAACAAATCAATAACAGATGGTCCAGGCACAGTCATTGATCCCAAAAAAAAAAGACGTGAAGGACTTGTTGAAGAAAGAATAATTAGTGTAAGTGTTCCAAAATCCACTTAAATTCACTCAAAAGCTTAGTGAATCATGCGTGATTCTCTGCCTTTTAACATGTTGTCTGTCACACCGGTAATCTTTGTAGGCGCTAAGCAACCAGTTGAAACGACCCATGTTGGCTTGGTTGATTTTTCCGTATAAGCTGGGCCATGCGGAGTGCGCTATCTTTTGGCATTTGAGTGAACCAGCAAGACCGTTAAATGCCCAACAGACAGAGTCACTGTTGTTTTTCTCAGATAATTTGTTAGCGCACTATGTTTTAACTTGTAAGGAACGTTTTTCATAGAGCACACATCTGACATTTTGTAAGGTGTGTGCTCCCTTGAATAATTGTCTAAACTCTAGTGAAATTTCCTAATTTTAGAAAAATGCTCTTAACTGGAGAAATCTTGGGAATTGCACAATAGCCCTTGATTACTCTGAAGAACGATTTTTTTACTCCCAACTCTCCTTTATGATTCCAGATGTTTTAAAAATTTGTTTACGCTAGCATTTGAGAATATGGGACAATTCTGTCCCAATGTTATTAATGTACCTCATCTCCTAGGAAATCTGCGACTATGGATGCGTCCCTGCATGCTCCTCAATTATTGAGTCGATTTCCTTCAAGAACTTTCTGTAAGAAAACGCATTTCTTGAAATAAAGTATTTTCGGTCGAGTTTACTCGAAAATTGGTGTAGAGGCACTCATTCAAAAAATATTGAATTGATACAAAGTGCTATCTTAAAAAGTCAAGGACAGGTGTGCAAGAAGAGCTCAATCGGCCAATTGCAAGAAAAAGTGAAGTCACTTAAAAAGGATGGGGGGAGGAGATGGATATGAAAGCATTTTGGTAAAATAAACTGTCTAATGTGCTCTTTTCTGCAAAGAAAATATTATAGCGCACTCTTTTTTATGAAGAAAATGGTGGAGAATGCAGTTTTATGTGGACAGCAATGTGGAGGTCGCCTCAAAATATGTGAAGAGGAAAAGTCTTATGTTGGCATCAATGTAAAGACAGCCTTAAAAATTGTGAAGGCTGCCTTATAGTCTAGGGGCCAAGGAGTCACTTTTGAGTGCCACCCTGAAACTATCAGTGTCTTGTACGGTCCCTGGGACACCTTTTTCCAGCGATCAAAATGTCCGTATCCTGTGTGATAAAGGGTCCGGAGGTTCTCTTATAAATCCACGATTCTTTTAAAAATTTTCAGACACGCAAAATTGTCAGAGGACCAAAAATGTTCTCCACAAAATTTTACACAGGAGTGCATCAACTTTGGACCTCTGAGCCTTTAATTTTGAAAAAAAATTTACTCGTTCCCCAAAAATTCGGAAATTTTTAAACAAATGTAATAATTAATGTAAGCATTGCTATCACATCAGTGACTCTACTGCTTCAACTGAGTGCCAAAACACTACATACCTTCTCTTTACATGATTCTTAAAGTTCAAACCTGTATAGCCCTGCCACTCTTGTCTATTTAGCGACGAATCTCTTTTTTTGCAATTTCCAGTTTAGTGACATTTTCAAAAATACTTATGTTCTAAGTACCAGTACATGGAGAAACTGTAATAGCTGGCTCAGCCCCGTCATTTTGTGGCCTTTTGAATGGTACTCGATGATAGCTTCTTAAATTTCATGAACCCCCCCCCCCCAATCCAAGGTGGCGCACAATGCATTGAAGTGTGACAAAAATCCCCAAAAAATGCAAGTCTCAATTTGTCAATAATGCTGTCGTGAGCATTATCTGGTACATCTGGTAAGACTATTTTCAGGGATAGTATCGATTTCAATCGATACCTAGTGCAAGATAGTGGAATGGTTACGCACATACCTTATATTTAAGAGCTGAGAACAAGGCTGTGCTGTAGGTGGGATTCCAGGGCCCGGTGAATTCTGCTGCTGATTCATTATCTCTTCAGTAACACCTTCATTTATTAGCTCTATCTAATTTTATTTGAATTGAATATTTATTTCATTCATTTATTTTTTTATTTTTTTATTCTAGGACAAATTTTAATTAAAACACTTTGTTTGAATTTGTAAATACAGTGTATGTTATAATATTGAGATTACATGACTACACACTATATTATTTTTATTTGAATTGAATATTTATTTCATTCATTTATTTTTTTATTCTAGGACCAATTTTAATTAAAACACGTTGTTTGAATTTGTGGAAACACACCAGCATTCACGCATTTGCACTCTTATACTAACTGAAGCTGCAGTGTTTACTTTGAACAAAAAACGAGTGCGTTAACATTCCTCTCTTCCTCATTCTTTTTTGGGCGCGCTATAATCTGAAAAACATTCCAACGAAATCTCACTGCACCCTGCTCAGGTCATTATAACCGATCACCACATCTGTTGGGACGCGAAAACTCTGTCGCTATGACCGATATGTCGTTATAACCGATACATAAATACATTGAATGAATGTGATTTCAGCCAGGATTGACCAGTTTACGTTGTTATGCCTGATATGTCGTTACAACCGATGTCGTTATATCCGATATCCACTGTATATCCTCATGATTTTTCAAGGCCTACCTCTAACAGGTATGCTGTACTGCAACATTTCTTTGTCGCAATTATCAATTTGTGTTGCCTCTGTCAACTGCGCCAATCAATTTGGTAAAAAATATCAATTTGTTGCAGTAAATTCCTATTATTTGGACTGTTCTTTCGGCGTGAAGAAACATGAGAATATCTTTGCATTTAATTTAGAGATTGCTTTAGATTTGCGCTCAATTTTAGCAATATATATAGAGTTTAGAACAGTCTTCATAAAATAGCTTCGACTCAATTGAAAATTTGATAGAGTTCAACAAAATTAACCACATAAGTGCTTTAGTCGTGTTGCAAAAAATTTCACCGTTTTTATGGTATGTCTGGTATGTCAGTGGGTCATTAACCCTTTATTTTTGTCTGGTTCACACGTTTCAGTGCAGAATTTTACTGCATTTTGTCTCTAAAACACAATAATTTTCAGAATTTAAAAGTATCCAAACAATTTAAAAGCTTGGGACTGTATTCTCTTATTCACCATTTTGCCTTAATTTTGCAGAATTTTTTTTTTAATAATTCCCTCAAAATGTAACAGTTTTCACTTACTTCATAACTTGTATAATATAGTTATCTTCAAATTAAGCCTCTAAATGTATTCAATCATTCGTGTCGGTTGCTTTTCATTTTTAACTTCATTGTTTCTATATTTTATGTTTGGACAATAATTGCATGGGTATGCATTTTTTTGCAAAGAATTTTACTTTAGTTTTGGGGATGAGCCAGCTATTGCAGTTGCTCCACGAACTGGAACTTGGAACATAAGCATTTTTGAAAATTTCACTAAACTAGGTATCGCATAAAATGAGATTTGTCGCTAAATATGCGGGAGTGGCAGGGCCATGCAGCTTTGAACTCGAAGAATCGGTATAAGTAAAAGGTATGAAGTTTTTTGGCACTCAGTTAAAGCAGTAGAGTCACTGTTGTGATAGCAATGCTTACATTAATTATTATTAAATTTTTTAAAAATTTTCGAATTTTTGGGGAAAGAATAAATTTTTTGTCAAAATTAAGGGGCTCACATGTCCAAAGTTGATGCACTCCAGCGTAAAATTTTGTGTAGAACATTTTTCATCCTCTGACAATTTTGCGGTTCTTGAAAATTTCCAAGTGAATTGTGGATTTATGAGAGCACCTCCGACCGACCCTGCAATTTTAGACATGACGGCCGTTTTGAAAATGTTGTCCTAGGGACTCTAGAAGATACTCTGAAGGTTTCAGGGTGGCACTCAAAAGTGACTTCGTGGTCCCTAGACTAATGAAGAATGTGGTCAAAGAGAGGAAGAATGTGGTCAAAGAGAGGAACATTTGATAAAATGATAATTTCTAATTCGAGCTTTTTAGTGTATCGCTTAAATTCATCTCCTCTTTATGAAGTCTACATCTTGTGAACAAAGAATCTCTTAGCAAAAGCAAAACTCTCAAAAGTAGTCTCTTAGGATGATGATCAGACCACGTGTACCAAATTTGACTCAAAATCAATGCCAATCAAGCTCTAACATGGTCGTCGTGGCTTGTGACAAGTTTGTGATGATGCTAATCCAAATAGTTTTAAACCATTGGGTAATTTCAAAAGGACTTTTTTGAAACTGCTCTCACCCTTATGTGTACATCAGTTGAATTCAATCTGTTATGCCTCTTCCAGACTGCATTTTCTCCTAGCTGTTATGGTCAATTTTAATTTTGTTCTTTGTTTTGTTTCAGCCTAACTATGATGTAGAAAAAGATAGACAAAGATCTCGCGAGAAGAAGAAAAAGTACAGGGAACTGAAAGAAAGACTGAGAGATGAAAAAATGAAAAAGCGACGCCACAAAGAAAGCAGCATCACTGTTAAACCAAAGACAAAATGCGAGAGTGTTGCAGCAGACACATCTAGTGGCCCTGCCCGCAAAATCAAAGATCAGTTCAGATTAAATATGGCTGGTGTCATTGTTCACTACCTCAATCCATACAGAAAACCAGATTGTAAAATTGGCAGAATTTCCAGCAATGAAGACTTCAAACATTTAGCAAGAAAAGTAAGTATCCTATATTTTGCAGCAGTCAGATTAGTTGGGTAGCTGCATGAAATTTATTTAATTTAGTTTCTTTAAGTACTAAGTGTGCTGACTGTGGAGGTATTTTTCAAAAAAAAAAAATTCAGTTTTCAAGTTTTTTGGTTGCTCTTTGTTAAAAATGCATGAACAGGGTCTTTTTCATCATTTTCAAAAATCAAATTTAATTGCTAGACTCTGGTTCTTGGTTTCAGTGACTATTTAAAGAAGCAGAGAGTAGTTTTCTAAGTCCTTACCAAGTTTTTCCAGTGACTGATAAGGCTTTTTCTATGCATGTAACGTTATCTAACGGGTCGCACAGGTGGAGACCATGCCACTGGCTCTATTTGGGATGGTTTAGACTTTTTCATAAAGGTTCGCTTTGTTAGTGGTTCATTCATCTTGTGGTATTACAAATTCGAGGAGATGTCGGCCAATGCCAGTGATAGTACAATTTCTCAGTTTCTAATGAGATCTTGTACAGTTTTATTGCATCTATTTTACTTCAAGAACTCTAGATTGACAAGACTGGATTGGCAGGAGATGAGGAAAGTAAATTAAATTTAACTAGGACCCTTCGCTTATGTTATCAATATGCTTTTATTTTATATCTGTGAAATTTAATTTTCGACTGAAAATCAATATTAACTCTACATCTTTCATTTATTTAATTTTCCTTAATTTCCCCCCCCCCCCTTGGGAAAAAACCATTCAACATAACATTTTTATTATCTCCTATGGAATGAACTCTGTGACAAGGTGCGAACTTAAGCATTCTGAACATTGTTTCTCATCCAAAAGAGCGACGCCAAAAACGACCGTTTTTTGGCACAATTTGGGCCAGCGGGGATTTTTCTGAAACCGGGCCCAAACGATACCTTATGATACCCTAAAACTCTGGTAAAAATTTTAGCTTGCGTATACGCATGGTTTTTGAGAAATGAGGGGGCAAAGTTGCCAAATCGCCATCATTCTGGACAGCATTTCTACAGCAAAAAGACCGGAAAAATGGACGAAAAAGTTACACCTTTGATGGGTTTCGGCTGTAAATGTTCTCATTGGGCCCCCAAGCATTTAACTGTGTTCAGTTTCAAAAATTTTGGTCGCACAGTGGTCCAAAATGGGGAGAAATCGTTGAAAAATCAGGATTCTTTGTCAAATTCTTAAAAATGGAAGTAAAATTGTCGGTCTGCTGCAGTTTTCATGGCTAACAATGTTCTTATCGGTCCTCAATACATGCAATTGTGTTCAGCTTCACAAATGTACATCGCACAGTGGTCAAAAATGGGGGAATTAGTGGACAAATTAAGATCCTCTGTCAAACTTTTTAAAAATGAAGTGAAACTGTTGGTCTCCAGTAGACTTCAGATCCCGGCAAAATTATTTAATTTTTTTTTTTTTTACTATTTAAATATTTTTATAATTTTTCCTCTCCATTTTTCCTTCTTTTTTTTAAATTTCTGAAAGTTTGCATATTTTATTGAGATAATGCTACAAAGTCTATTCTATGACAACGTTCCATAAACAATACGGTCTGACATGTAGTAATAATTGAAAAAATTAAAATCATGAATTTTTCCGGGATCTAAAGTCTACCGGAGACTAACAGTTTTACTTCATTTTAAAAAGTTTGACAGAGGATCTCAATTTGTCTACTAATTCCCCCATTTTTGACCACTGTGCGATGTACATTTGTGAAGCTGAACACAATTGCATGTATTGAGGATCGATAAGAACATTGTTAGCCATGAAAACTGCAGCAGACCGACAATTTTACTTCCATTTTTAAGAATTTGACAAAGAATCCTGATTTGTCGACGATTTCTCCCCATTTTGGACCACTGTGCGACCAAAATTTTTGAAACTGAACACAGTTAAATGCTTGGGGGCCCAATGAGAACATTTACAGCCGAAACCCATCAAAGGTGAAACTTTTTCGTCCATTTTTCCGGTCTTTTTGCTGTAGAAATGCTGTCCAGAATGATGGCGATTTGGCAACTTTGCCCCCTCATTTCTCAAAAACCATGCGTATACGCAAGCTAAAATTTTTACCAGAGTTTTAGGGTATCATAAGGTATCGTTTGGGCCCGGTTTCAGAAAAATCCCCGCTTGCCCAAATTGTGCCATTCTTGGCGTCGCTCTTTCTCGTAAAATACAGCTCGCCAATTCCACAATTCCTTATATTTTGTGACCTCTGTTTCAGCTAACCCATTTTGTGATGTTAAAAGAACTGAAACACTGCCGTAGCGTAGATGAATTAACATGTAATGACAATGTGAAACACAAAGCGAAGGATTTCATAAAAAAATACATGTCCAAATTCGGCAGCATCTATTCTCGTCCGATTGATGATTTAGACTGAGCTTCACCCTCTGAGGGATAGCGTTTGTTACTGTGCTGTTGTAAAGTGTAAAGTGTAATTTATTTCGGAGCTTGACAAGCATTTTCATCTCTCCGTTCGTCTGCTCATGTTGACTATTTTTATTTAGGATCCCCGTATTTTATGCTAAGTTTTAAGCATGTACATAGTATTTCCCTTGTTTGTATTTTTTTTACGCAGTCACATTGATTTTTATCATCTTTTCATTATTTGATGATGTGAGTTTTATTCTGTTAGATGTATATTTTATTTCAGCAGTCAGAATATCAATTATCTTATTCGGATTCACTTTCGTTGGTTAATTTCTATTCAAGATGTATCTTACCGTTTTCGTGAGTTCTTTTATGAGTGGTTAAAAGAATTTTTCATCTCTTATCCTCCGCCATGAATCTCTTTTCTTCATCAAACCGCTCATGGGTAGATTACTCGGATGGTACTCTAAAGTCAACATAAGCGGTAGAACTTTAGTTATCTATTTCGTCTGTTTCTTTATTTACTCAATTTTTGATGGTTTTATTTGCAGCAGTCATTGCTATCAACTAAAAAGAGTGTTTGTATGTCTGGAGGCATATTTTATGTATGGTAGAAATTCTGACAAAAAAAAGTTGTCTGTTGTATTTATGTGTTTTTGAGTGAATGCGCGCATGTAGATCTACCAGAGGCATCAAGTTTCTACCTCAAAAAGTAATGATTTATTCCATGAGGATAGTGATCAGTTTTGATCTATTGCTTTGTTGGTTTCTCAAAGTGAAGCAATCTTCAATACCTAAAAGTAGAATATGCTTTATGACTGGGTAAAAAATCTGTGCTTAAAGTCATTAGTTGATAGAACTTAAAGTGAAGGAGTTCATTCTAGTCGGAATGATTCCTGTATTGATGTCAGTTAGAATTTGCTGCTTCATTTTGAATGGATCATCTTAAAATCCTTTTTATTCCTGTGGCTTTCTTTAGGGATGAGTTCTGTAGGGCATCTTACTGTTGTGACAGCCGATCGCAGCATAACCTCATGTAAGATTCTTACAAAGTCATAGGATCCTTTCCCATGAACCTAGACCCATCCATCGCTTGCTCCATATGTGAGGTTAAGCCAACAGTTGAAATTTAACTTTTAATGCTGTTGAACTATTGGAGTCTTATAGAGGAAAGTACTATAAGTCTTATAGAGGCTATTAGTCTTATAGAGGGAGTTCGGAGTCTTATAGAACTCGTCCTTGCTCCCTTGTTTAAAAGAAACTAATGCTTTGTAAATGTTTTCATTCCGATTTCACTCCATTTGCTCATGCATTAAGATTTAATTGTAAAATCACACTAAGCTTTTTTTATTTTTATTTTACACCAACGGATTTAATTTAAAATCAATACTCTGTGCCCTAATGGGTTTAATTTTATTGATTGTAGGAATTAGATTAGCAAGTTTACTTGAGCGCAGAGACTTGCTTGATGAAAGAACAATTTATTTAATTTGCAATGATTGTTTTCCCTCATCTTTTGAATTTGTTTAGGGCATCATCATGAGATAGGGTAATAGAATTTTGATAGAAGAAATTAAAACCTTGAGAGATAAGAGAAATATCTTTTAACCATGATCTCTGAACAGAAATTTGTCTTGCAACATCTGTTGAAGCAGGTCAAGGGAGCTTATCATCAAGATAACAATAAGCTGAGTCTCTTCCAGTCTCTGGTTTCTATTGTCAAGGAGGCTTTTCTCTTGGCCTCATTGAATTTTCTGTTAGTTTCAAAATAATTGTATGTAGAGAAGATGTTTTTAGTTATCCTTCTGCAGGAAATTACGAATTTAAGTGGTTGATCATAAATACTTTCTCTGTATTGTTTCAGTATATCATCTATTTTGTTTCCTCCCAGAGTAAGTGAAACATAGGTATGCTCTCACGCACCTCTTAGTCCAAAATGCAACTTTCTGTTCCTGCCATCAAAATTACAGCACAAGATTTGAATTTCAACAACTTTGCAGTTTCAGCCAAAAACAAGAATGACCGTTTGCTATTGATAAAGTTGAACTAACAGTCACCTTATTGAGAGTAAATAAATGTTCATTCTTAACACATTTGTTTGCTCTGAATTTGTTCATTTTATAAACAGCTGACTTTCATTTTTATTTTCAGCGAAGACTGCTAAATTGTTGAAATTCAAATTTCACGCCTTGGCTCTAATGACTGGATCAAAGAGCTACATTTCGGCCAAAGGGGTCGGCAAGGGCATTCTACCTACGTTTCACTTACCTTGGTTTTCTCCTCTGTTTGTAATTTTTGTTGAATGGAATATTTACTGCCCAATGTCCAATTCAAACTCCTTTAATCACTGAATCGGTGGCTTTGTCATCATTAAAGATGCAAATTACCTTATATGATCCTAGGTTTTACCCTAGAAATGAGCTTGTTCGGTAATTTTTAATTCTTGCATTTTGAAAGGTAGAAAGTAACTTAGCTTACAGGAATTTTCCCGGATTTTTTTGTACAACATGAAGCCACAAAAAACAATTTTAAAGTTGGGTAATTTGATCTCTCCGCACAACATCTTGCCTTTCTTGGCGATGCGCGTTTAAATGGAAGCTCAAATCATCCAACTTTCAACTCGTTTTTTGTGCCTTAATATCTTCCAAAAACATCCGGGAAAATTCTATCAACTAAGTGCACTCGACTTTTCAAAAATGCAAGACTTAATAAAAATTACTGAACAAGTTCTTTGAATCGTTGCAATCATTAAACTAGTCAGGATACGATTTCCTTCTGTTGAATTTATTCCTCTCAACTGGACGTCTTTCTATCAAACGGAACTAAGTGCCAATTTGAGTTCCTTTTGAGGAATTTAGAATTCCGGATAGCGCGTTCTGTCAAACGGACCTAAGCGCCATGGAAAAGCATTGCGAGTATAGGACGGAATAAGCCGGACGCCCGATTCCGCCGCCAATCCAAGCCCCCCTCTACCTTCCTCACCCTATGGCGCTTAGGTCCGTTTGATAGAAATACGTCCAACTGATCTCCTAATACTTTTTTACTTAGTTTTGAATCAGTCCCAATTACTGAATAATTTTTGAAGAGCATGTGTTGTTCAGTAAATTTTGACTCTGGGCTTCCTATCGTTAATCATAATTCCGCAGTTTCAAGAATAATTAAAGTATTCCTTTTGCAGCACTTTGAAGGGATTTGCAAACCAATCCATGCTGTCTGTAATTTTCAGTTGAATCAGGTTCAATTAAGTCAAAAATTAGGTTACTCATTTATTGCACCAAATTTGCCGGGAGTTTGTTTATATTTTTCAAGGAGATTTGCCCGAGTAGGCAAACGTTCAGAAAAATACCATTATTGAATGTAGCACTTAGTCCCTTTGTCAAAAGCATCGACTAAGTTATCATTAAATTAAACCAGGTTGACTTCTTTTTAAAATGTATTAATCATCCCTTGAGGAAATTTCTCAACAGAAGTACCTATTCAGATTGACCGAAATAGTAGTCTTACTGTATATCTTTTGAAATTTATACTAGAATAACTTAATCGTTTACCCAGCCCAGTTGAGCACAAGACCAATCCGCACAGGTGAGTCGTTCTTCTGCGCAAGTTGTACTGTTCGGCCTATTGGCGAGGGGAAGCCTAAATGAATTTCATTTGTTTCATTTCAAATGGGAGCAGCCAACGCTGTGTGCTCCGCTATTGCCACTGGATGCGTTTGAGTGATGACCGAAGAAAGATGCACAATGACTGACTTGCGTGGATTGGTCTTGGCAATAGTTTTCCGAAGAAAAAGAAGTCATGATGCGGTCAAATTGGATGTACGTCCGTAATAAAAGTTTCATTCCAGTTTTTCAAGCCAGTACCATTGAGCGTGTACCAATTTTAGGGTATCTCTGTCATGGTGTTACCTTGGGAATTCTCTGTTGAGTCAAGTACCTGAATATTCAGATTTAGATCCAGACAGTATTATATCCTCCTCCAATCGGAATGCAAAGTAATCCTCATTGATCATACTATCTGAGAAACCATTTTCACATCATTAGTATCCCTATCAATTTCTTGGGACTATAAAGTATGCAAGAACTGGTGATTAACTGGATTACATTTTGCAATAAGGAACCACTATCTCTCGCTCCTCTATAAAAGCACATATCTGCATAGGGAAACCAATGGCACGTATGTTGTTTCTAAAATGGGCCGGAAATAGTGGTTCCTTATTGCAAAATGTAATCCAACTTATCCCTTAAGAATATTGGCTAGAATCAGTTTAATTTATTCGAGGTGCCCATCTGTAAATTGTCAAATAACAATAATAGTTAAGGTCATGATAATGCTCTTCAATGTGGAAAAAAATGTTTTTTAGCAAGAAATTAATTTTTCTCTCAGTTGTGTAGCTACTGGAATTGGACTACATTTTGCAATTAACTACAATTTCTAGCTTAGTTTATAAACAACGTAAGTGTCATTAGTACGAATGAGCCAGAAATTATAATTTCCAGTTGCAAAATGTAGTCCAGTTAGCTTATGATGCAAGACTGAAACAGTCGACAAGAGAAAGGATGGTCCCAATATTTATTTGTTTTAAAATTTCTCCTTACCTTTGACCCAAAGTTCCCTAAAAGTAACTGATTTCATCTCTTACAAAGAAGCCTAAGTCATGAAATATCCAAATGGAACGTTATTTTCTCTGGTTTAACTTATTTCAATTGCTCCTATCAGTGTCCCAACAACAAGTCAACATACCAATCATAGAGCAAAATTAGTATATCGGATTTCTTTTTCCCTTTTGAAAATATGTAACACACTTGAATTCTCTTTTCTCTATTTGTTCTTGTACGAAGAAATTTCTCCTCTCATTAAATTTGTGTTTTTTTCCATTTGTTTAGTTATCTTTAAAATGTTGACGTACTCTGTTACTTGATCCATTTAAACTGCAAATTGACTTGTATCATTATGTTTTTATGTACATACATTTGATATTATAGTTGTTTTAATTCAATTGCTAGTTAATATTCTTCTTCTAATCTATCTCAATTGTATTCATGAACCACCTGTCTGACAATGTCATGAAAGTCTGCTCATGCTTTTAGCTGATTGACATTTCTGACAAGTTTCATGTTTTAATCTGGAAATGTCCGATAGTCACAAAAGTATGTTATTTTACCAAATCACTGTCTTCCTACATGTTGAGGAAAATAATAATCACGGAGTAACTGCGATACATGCGCGCGCCGAGGGGTTGTCTTCCACAAGGCGGAATCCTCCGATTTTCGAGGTGCGGTCGGACGCCATAGACTAATCGCCCTTTGTATCCTTGATTCTCCTAGTGGGATGCAGACTAAAGCCAAATGTCGCCAAGTTGTTCTTAAAGTTGTCAGGTTGTTTTAGGCGTAACAGCGCATCGAACGGTAGACCAATTTTGGTGAGCAAAACGAAGATCCAATTGTTAAAATTCGTAGGCGGAAACGCAACACTTGCTTCTCGAACCTACGTAACTTTTTTATTTTCAATGAAGTGAATGGACCAGAGTCTCATTAGAAAGCCGTATGGCCTGTCTTTCAAGCAAAACCAAAAAAAAGCCTTTACCTAGCTTACTTTTGAAGTTGTTGCATTTGTCAGACTACTTTTTGAATAGCCTATAGCCGGTATCAGACGATCAAAGTGGAGCTCTCAATGTGGTGCATCGATGCGGCTGGTGGAAGATTCTTGGCCCGAGAATCTTTGAGGGTCACTTGGGTCATGTGTATGCGCCACTTCGAGGGTTCTACTTTGATTTTGTGATACTGGCTTATGTAGATTGAATTGATTGTTTCTGATTCACAACCATGGTGCTCTCTTGCGAGCAGTATCCGTGGCCTAAGGAGATAAGCAGTAACTACATTGATGATACTTCTTTGTTTAACACAATGCGCTGCTTTTATCCGTCATGACACGCAGAAACCGCGATTTTTATAACTTATCGAAACCGCCAATAATATTTACAGACTTATTTGTAACAGGTCATGAATATTACAGACTTTGGAGACCTGTAGACATCCTGTTGGTCTCCTATCTGCAAAGGGTCATTAGACTGGTTCCTTAACCTGACTAACCGTTTTTACCTACACGAATGCCCACACGATCGCTGTGATGCTTTTTTCTCTGCTTTTGAGGAATTTTATGATTTTTATACTTTGTCTACTATAACCAAGGTCCTAAATGCTCCTTCCACCCATAAACTGCCTCCCCCTCCCCTCCCCAGTCCCCTCAGATCTAGGAGCCTCTCATTATAAACACATTTTTATATCATTTTCGAGATTTTAAGGAAGGTACATTGAAGAAACATTATACCCCTAAAAGTATATTTGAATTTGAGAGGGAGGAGCCACCTTAACAACTCCTACCCCTCCCCCTCCTGGTAGCCAAGAATATTAGTACTTTCCGATTTGTTTCTTTCAAAGTTTTACACTTAGAAGGTTCATTTTGTTAATTTCGTGAAAAGAAAAGTCTAAAATTTATTGTTGTTATTTATTAAATACTTCTACATTATTTCAAATTTTTCGACAAGTTAGAGCAAATTTTGGATATTACAGTGAATAGTAAGATGAACGTGGGACAAAATTTCTTGTGAAGTTTCTGATGATTATTCCGAGTTTTTGCTGTAATTGTTGTAGCTGAGAAGTGGTCATGGAGGTAATATACTGTCTAAGCACTGTCAAAGCACCATGCAATATTTTCTTACAAGTAAAAGATAACGCCTTTACATATTCACCTTATCATAAGAATCACTTAAAATTATAAGAATAATATGTAAGGTAAGTAACAGTTACAGCAACACCTTAGGAAAACTGTTAAAAACTTCACAAGAAATTTTGTCCTGCGCTCATCTTACTATATTCACTGCAATATCCAAAATTTGCTCTAACTTGTCGAAAAATTTGAAATAATGTAGAAGTATTTATTAAATAACAACAATACATTTTAGACTTTTCTTTGCATGAAATTAACAAAATGAACCTTCTAAGTGTAAAACTTTGAAAGAAACAAATCGGAAAGAACTAATTTTTTTGGCTACTGGAAGGAGGGGGAGGGGTAGGGGTTGTTAAGGTAGCTCCTTCCTCTCAAATTTCAAATATACTTTTAGGGGTAATAATGTTTCTTCAATGTACCTTCCTCAAAATCTCGAAAATGATATGAAAATGTGTTTATAATGAGAGGCTCCTAGATCTGAGGGGACTGGGGAGAGGGGGAGGGGGATGCAGTTTATAGGTGGAAGGAGAATTTAGGACCTTGGTTATAAAAAACAAAGTATAAATATCATTAAGTCCCATCTGCCGTAGTGCGGAAAATAAGGAGCCGCCGGGTCTCGTAGACCCGGTTCGTTATCTAAGGGTTAACATGTATCTCCCTGTAGTAGTAGCATCCTATAGCAGCAGGTAAGATACGTCAGCGACTGCTTATAGGGGTCCTGGGTTGAGGTGTAACCCGAAATACTATCCTGGTGGTAATACCTCACCCTAGCTCTAACTCAAGCTGTGACCATGTTAAAGCTAGATTCCATTTACAAAATCATTGAAGAGTTGTACGTATTTACATCAAATAGCCGAACCCAACTAACAATAAGAATGGTTGGAATAATTTTATCACTAAAACGAAGCCGCGCGTCTGCAACAAATATTCTATTCTTTAATTGAGGAAATCTCTGGAACAAGGGCGTCTACGCGCATCCGCCCTTTTTCGAGAAGAACGCGTTCTCTGAAACTTGACTCATCCTAGTTTCAGGAAATATGCAGAGTGGAAAAAATTCTCGCTCCCCCCCCCCCTCTTAGCGTGGGGAAAATGGGATATTTGGAAAAAAAACAATTCACTGGCAGTTCATATTCATTCAATAAGGGTTCACCAGAGGTTATGAAAAATCCAAAGAGAACTCAGCTTATATAAGACGTATTAATCGCCACGGCATTGCCATATTTCAATTTACCCCCTCAAAGATGAATCCCATTATGAATAGATAGATGCTGACTGGGAACAACATCAGTACAGGTCAGCGCAATAAGCTCCTAAAAAAAAGAAAGAAAAAAAATTGTTGCTAAAGATGAGGGAAACCAGAAAAACCTCACTAGACCTTATTCTAAAACAATCTGCACGAATTAATTCATCGCAAATCACAAATAGAATTCTCGACAGATTTTGACTTGAATTTCAACGTGAACTCCAAATTTTGATCTCGCTGAATTCCGAGTCCCGGTCTCACCATCAGTTCATTGAATTTGTAAACAGACACAGGTTTTGTTAACAAATGGGTGATTTCACAATAACTGGAGTAGCTAAAATGTGCAACACCTTAAAAATAAAAGTGCACCAATCTTGACAAGACTTCATTACCTCATTTTAAAGATACCTAATAATCTTCCTCTTTCCAGCTCTGGCACGAACTATTTTGATTCAGTACAAAGTTATAGTGATTGATAAACAAGCCATTGAATCGCAGCTATCCACTCCTCGGTTATGTAACTGACTCTTGAAAATGTGAAATAAAAGATGAAACTTGGCAATTCTTGAGATGTGAGGTGCAATTAATGCTGCCTGAAAAGTTTTCTAAACTTTGGGGACTTCCTGACCGTTTAATAATTTTAAATTGAAGATTTCGTGTGGTGTGTAATTAGTGCTATAGACCTAAAAATCACTGATTTTTATAACACTTAAAGTTTGCATTGAAGAAAAAGCCTACTTATTAGTAATGGTTTGGTCAAGAAGACTTCATCGAATAGTTAGATGACAGTTTTGAAACTCCTGGTTCCATCTGGCGAGATAAACACTGCATTTAATACAACTGCAAAAATATGTTGCCAAATGTGGCGACATTCTTTATAATAACTTTTCTCGCTTAAAAATGAACATTTCAGTTCAAACTGCCAATTTTCTTGAACATTTGAGTCTCTTTGCTGTAAATAATGCCAAAGAATCCGTGATCAGCACTGATTTACTACAGCAAGTTGCTCTTTTGCTTCAAAATCGAGGTTGGGGACGCATAACCGACCGGACATTTTCGGCCTTTAAAGTCTCATTTTATTAAATATAATAATGATTTATCATATTTTTTAGCGTAGATAAGTTCAGGGACGACATCATTCCTATTTATTTATCAACTTGGTTTTCAATCGTTTTACCCTATTTCATTTATAACCCGCGGCGACACGACTATTGGACAGAGTTAAACAGAAAGAAACCACAAGCCACAATGGGATCGAACCGAGAAAAAAAGGCTTAAAGTTTAGCTCCTGCATAAGACTCCATGTAAAAGTTAAACTTCATGTTCAATTTCTGCAAAATTTGCTCCAACAAGAACTTTGAATTTTTGGCGGTAGATAGTAGAGCAGTGGTTGAGTTCAAAACCACTCATAACTCAATTTTTTCCAAAATGTGGGTTGGTTCCTTTCTGCTCAACTCAGTTTTATTCCTCTTATCGTGAAATTACCCAAATCATCCTGTTAATTACCTGTAGGAAAATATTTTACATCAATCACTCTTTCAACAATCTGCACCCTAAAAAAGTGATACCTACTTAACATCAATGTATTTTGATCTTTGTGGCTATTTGAGTTCTTTGCAATAGGTACTTATGCAATCTTAGTGATCTGTCGCTCTTCAAAATTATTTCAGTATAGGTATCCATTCCAACTTCGTCATGTCGATGGCATTACTGTGCTTATGATAGTTTTTAATTTAAGTGCTCAGAAGTCAAGATTATCATAGAGTTTCCCTCTATTTTACGTTCACATTCTCATCTGTTTCACGCACGCCACGACGTGTAGAGTTTGTGTATGTTTTATGGATACACCGTTCATTTACGTTTGAGTTCCTAGCACCTTACATTTAATTTCTGTAACTCTTCTTCACAATTTATTTCTCCTGGGTTTTCCAGAGTTAACTAAAGTATCAAGTTTAAGGAAAATTCTGATTTTATTGCCAGATTTATCGGTTTCCTATCAACTAATTTTCAGATTCATCAGTTTCTCA